CATTATGCGATTTTCTTATCACGACGTGTTATTTGTAACACTTATTTTTCTGGTTTTATGTTTGTATCGCGCCAGGCGATCTATTTGTTTTGTTTCGGATTATTTCTTGGTATAATCTATCTTTATTAATAAGGAATTTTGCTTGTGTTTCCCTGTACATCGGAAGCACTGTGTAAGCCGTTTCTTACAAACTAAAAGGTTGTGGCATATTGAGTAAGCAATTTTTTTAAATCTGTGCCTGGTTTATTGAATGTCTACTTACTTAAACATACCCAATCAGATCATAGTTTTATTTGCGTTGATTTGAAAAAAACTAAAATCAGATGAATTTTTCTCTTCTAAAAGATTTCTTTATCCAGAATTTTTTTTTTTTATTTTTATTTTTTGAATTTTAATCCTATGAATATATAGAATAAAAATAAATTCGATCAAAAGTTTTTTTTAAATCTAAATTCTATGGATTCTTGGGATTGAAATAAAAAAAACTTACAGAGTTTGGATAGATATGTGTCAAAATATCTTCGATCAAAGTTTAAAAAAGAAAAAATTCACCCGATTTTAGCCTTTTTCCTGATATTCAAGGATTTTTTTTTTAAATTTTTACCGTCGACATCCATTAAACCAAATACAATAAACTTTTTTATTTTAATTCTCAAAGTGTATAGAATTAAAATAAAATGTATAAAAATTACCGAATTTGAAAAGGTAGTTATTTAAGTAGATACGTTGTGAGACCGGAAACGTGCGGAAAGTCTACGGACACGTACAGGTCACGTGATTTTGCACGTACCGACAATCAAACTATCGAAGTAGAATTTTTCTTAATTCCGGACAAATTTTCTCAACAACTATCTAATAGAATTCGATAAAAATTGGTTTGAATAGATTCTGCGAATTAGTAGAATTTATTTAAAAAAATTTCATCAAATTCAATTAGATAGTTGTTGAGAAATTTTCGGTCAAAGTTTGGAAATTTTTCAACACCTCAAGAAAATGGCCGCAGCAGAAATTTTTCCAAACTTTAAACGAAAATTTCTCGACAACTGCTCAATAGAATTCAATGAAACTTTTTTTAAATCAATCCTACGAATTAGTAGAACTCATTTAAAAAATTTTTTAACAAATCCTATTGGACAGTCGTCAAGAAATTTTCATTCAAAGTTTGGGAAAGTTTTCAACACCTCTTAATAGCCGTGGCAGAAATTTTTCTAAACTTTGAATGAAAATTTCTCGATAACTACTTGATAGAATTTGATGAAAATTTTTTTAATAAATTCTACTAATCCATAAAATTTATTTTAAAAAATTTTCATCAAATTCTATTGACAGTTGTCGAGAAATTTTCGTTTAAAGTTTGGAAAAATTTCTGCTGTGGCCATTTTCTTGAGGCGTTGAAAAATTTCCCAAACTTTGACTGAAAATTTCTCAACAACTATCTAATTGAATTTGATGAAATTTTTTTTAAATAAATTCTACTAATTCACAGAATCTATTCAAACCAATTTTCATCGAATTCTATTGGATAGTTGTTGAGAAAATTTGTCCAAAATTAAGAAAAATTCTACTTCGATAGTTTGATCATTGGTACGTGCAAAAATCATGTGACCTGTACGTGTCCGTAGACTTTCTGGGAAACGTGACTGGTGGCAGGCACGTGACCACGTGACACGGTAAATCTTTGCCCAGAAATCCCAGATATCCCAGATGTGTCAGAACCACCAGATCCGGAGGGTTAGGATAATTTGGGTGAAATGGTGGATCTTAGTAATCCTAGTTATAAGGTTGATATTGGGTTTTTTGATGATTCTAAAGATATAGATGATTCCAATGAATGTAAATACATGAATTAATAATCATAAATAAAAGCCTTCTGTCCCTTCGGAAACAACAATAGTTCCCACTTACATAATAATAAAGTACCTAAGTTACATAATAAACTAAAAATCTATATTCGTTTATTAACTACTCGACCAAATCTAACACGTCTTTTTCGACCCTAACGTAACCTAAACTTCGGTTACATGGACCTACTAACGACCTAGCGACAGACTTGCCATTTTGGGTCTCTCAACGTTTCAATAATTACTTGAGTGAAATTCAAATTAAAAGACTAATACATTAAACTTATATAAAATAATTTAATTGATACAATGTAGATGAATAAATGTTATTATTAATTATGAAAAGTCTTCTCTTGGGTTAATAACTATAGAATCTCTTGAATTAATGGATGCAGAATCAAAAGTGAGATATTTTTCTTGCCCGCGGTAATTAATAAAAGAAGACTATGAGAACGGCATATTAAAACATTCTTATAAAATAAATTCTGTTATTTTATTGCATTTTGATATATGTAATCTCTATGAATTTGAGTAGTAGAAAACTTATTCGTAAAATTGGTAAAAGGTGTAGTATGAATAGCCGGGATAAAGTTTCAGAAACTGATGATTTGAGTGCTAAAGGTTTGGGTGCCAAAGGCTTAGGAGCCAACGTTTTAGGAGCTAAAGTTTTAGAAATTGTTGTATTTTTTTCTTGATGACATTGATAGCGATAATTGGATTGTGTTCAAGCATTAATCGCAATCATTATTTCAATCAATCGCCTGCCCACTATCAGGCAATCACATGGAGGGAGGTGCTTGAGAACAACCTATACTATGAATTGATCTTTTCTGTACTTTTTACTAAACGAAGTTTTTTACGGATTAGACATAATATTATCGTATATTGGAAGTCAAAGTGTATAAAAAAAAATGATAAAAAATGTATAAGGCCACACAAGTTAATTTTTCATTTTGCATTACCTGATGTTCCAAAATTCAGGTCAGCGGTCAGATTTTTTAATCTACTGTAAATTAATAGATTCATGTCATATCTGAGGCCAAAGGCATTCCTTGAATGTGTGCTAGGTTTATGGCGCTGTTGGCCTAAGCCACAGTGATCAAACAATAACACAATCAAACGATTATGCAGAATACATACGTACGTACATAATAAACTTATTACAGTACTACACAGTTACTATAATTAGCTTTTTATTATGTAGCGCCAGTATGTATAATTAAAAATTTCTATACTAATCAATAATATTACCTTTATTGGATTTTCTCATACCCTTTTCTGCTTTACGATAACGAAATTTCAAAAATGGTATGTATGAATTTTGATTGCAGTTAATAACGATATTTTGAACTTAAAGAACTGACGTTGGTACATGGAATTATTTTGACAAAAAGAATTTTTTTTTGATAAATGTCTACTTTAACGAATGAAAGTTTAGTTTTTCAATGATATTGCTATATACAAATATTAAATACTCATAATTAATTTAACGATTTTGATGACTTTAATGAAACTTATTGTTAATAAATGAATGAATTTTATCTGAAAGAATTTTTTTTTTACTGATTTGATTTATTTATTTATTATTTATTTATTTATTTGATGATATCAAAAAAAAATAATTAGAATTCTCTACCAGAAATTTTAAAACCAATACTTCCGCAGCAATATTTATATTCAATTAAAAATTTTAAAGAAATGCCATCTTACCAAACATCTGAAAACTTTGAAATACTACAATTCGAACTTGACATATTTGTGAATGTTAATAATAAGGAGAAGGCATACGAATGGTTTTACAAATTTGAATTATGTTCAAAAACAACAATGCCCCAGACTAGGGGCTATATAATTAAAGAAAAGCAGGTTATTTTTAAAGAAATATGCCATTGTATACATAGCAACGAAGTGAAAAAAAAGCAGAGAAATCGTGAGACAAAATGACCTCAATCATCTCATGCACGAAATATTTGTTGTAATGCAAGTATTCAACTTCGGTTGGAGAGATGGCGTCTTGAATTAAGCTATCCATTAGAAGTAAATCTCAAATTCATGCACAATCATGTAATTGATTCCGCAGAATCTTTAAGTTTTTGACGTGTTAAAGAGGAAATACATGATAAATTCTTGAGTCTATTTAATAATGGGCATTCTCCTGCTTCGGCACTATACTCACATGAAGATGATCTCATCTTTCTGCTACTAATGATCAAGAATTATTAGAATTACTTGCAGATAGAGCAAGCAATCCAGATTATAATTATGTTGTTAGACTTTTTCATCAATATTGTGAAGCTACACTTGGTGATCGAAATGGTAAAAGTATGTTTGATCGTTTAGAAGAAATAGTGAGTGATTATAATAACTTAGAAAATGGTAAAGCTGTACTGCAAAGATATGATACATATAGTGGAAATGCATTTATTTTGTATATTGTAACTGGTTTGATGTCTAGAGTGCATGAGAAAGTACCACAGGCAGGAGAACTATGCTACATGGGTGCATCAGCTTCATTTGAGCCTCTTAATACTTCGATAACACTTTTATATACAAGTTGCTCTGCTGGTGCTCTTTCTCTTGGTTTATTTATTATCTTGGATGAATCAGAAATTACAATAGAAAATGCAGTAAATTTTTTTTAGACTTCTAATTAATATATTTTTTTAAAATAAAAATTGGTACTAATAAATTTAAATTAGTTAATTTTATTGAAAACAATTCTTTCTCCATATACATTTTATGGATGTGGTCCACAAACTGGGTCAGCAATTTTTCTCACAGATGATTCAAGTGCAGAGCATAATGCTCTAGAGCTTTGTTGGCCACAAACAATTCGACTTCTATGTACATTTCACATATTACAAGCTTTTTGGAGGTGGCTTTATGATGCAAAACATTGTATCAGTAAAAATGATTAGATACCAATTATGAATAAAATGAAAAAAATTCTTTATGCAGCAAGTTTTTTAGAGATGGACTTACACTATAATGAGCTTAAACAAGGCTTTTATCCTTCACTAAGCGACACTTTGAAATTTTATGGGAACGTTGCTGCTTTTGGGCCTTGTTATTTCACTCTGGATTACTTGTTAGAGGAAATAATACTAATAACTATATTGAGCACAGCTTTGAAATTTTAAAGGATATAGTTTTTACCAGAACACAGGCATATAATTCTATACAAGTATTTCACTATATAATTTCAAAAATAGAAAGATTTTATGAGTAACGATTACTTAATATTGCACATAAACGTCCTGGTCATTTACAAAATGCAAGAAGATTTCTATATCCTGGGTGAGAAACTGTAGATGCAAACTTGATTCAAAAAACTGAAGTAGAAAATGAATTCTTGGTGTTAAACACAAGGCAAAACGGTCTTTTCTACACTGTAAACACTGCAATTGGAACATGTACATGTTCAATTGGCATAAATGGTGCACCTTGTAAGCATCAGGGTGCAGTCGCAACAAAATTTCATATTACTTCTTTAAATTTCTTGCCATCTTTAACAGCCGATGATCGAATGGTTTATACCTATATTGCACGTGGTAGGCATACTATAATTTTTTACAATATATCAATCAGAAAAGACTCTATCTGCCCTTTTTTTTTTTAGGTCAAGTTGCAAAAGACAGTTCATTTTATGCTTCATTACGCCTCAGCTTTACTTCGCAAGAATATTCACCAAGATCAAAAACATCTAATGGGATATCGAAAACAACTTTAAAGTATACATTATTATTATTATTATTATTATTATTATTATTATTATTATTATTATTATTATTATTATTATTATTATTATTATTA